ACGGTTGTGCAGGCACCAATCTGACAATTTGGAATGGGAAACAATTTACTTCTACTGCTTCAGGGGCCACCTGTTTCACCTCAAGTCCAAACCTGAACATCACTTCAGAAAACCAAAGCACAACCACACATTTTCTTTTGGAATGGATTGGATGAAATTTGCAGACATGGTAGCATATTCTTAGTGTATAATGCCAACTAAATATCATACCAATAGGTGGGGGAAAGAAGCTGTTCTGGTTATATTTTACAGACTGGGCTTTTTAAATGAGCCGTTTAGAACTTATCTATTTTGGGCAGAAGTATATAAAATTTTGGGGGTGCGGGTGGCGCTGTGGGTTAAACCACAGAGCCTAGGACTTGCTGATCAGAAGGTTGGCGGTTCGAATCCCCACGACGGGGTGAGCTCCTGTTGCTCGGTCCCTGCTCCTGCCAACCTAGCAGTTCGAAAGCACGTCAAAGTGCAAGTAGATAAATAGGTACTGCTCTGGCGGGAAGGTAAACAGCATTTCTGTGCGCTGCTCTGGTTCGCCAGAAGTGGCTTAGTCATGCTGGCCACATGACCCAGAAGCTGTACGCCGGCTCCCTTGGCCAATAAAGCAAGATGAGCGCCGCAACCCCAGAGTCGGTCACGACTGGACCTAATGGTCAGGGGACTATATAATTTTTCTATCGTTCCTGTGGTACTCAACATGAGAGAGGAGATGTGTTCAGTAGCCCCCTGGCAGAAACCCATAGAAGCATTATGACAGTCAGGAATGCCAGAGTCCTCATGTGTACAACTGTGTGCATGAAGGTTTCCAAACAATCAGGGTTCCAGGTCACCTAAAAGCCTTCATGCGTAGAGCTGTACATGCAAAGGCACTGTTAGTAGAGACGGTTGTGCTGTTTGTGTGGGTACAGGGCTCCTCAGTGCATGCCTGCTTCCCATACAGTCATACCTTGGGATAAATGTGCTTCAAGTTAAGTATTTTCGGGTTGCACTCTGCGGCGACCCGGAAGTAACGGAGCATGTTACTTCTGGGTTTCACTGGTGCGCATGCACATGATATCACATGCATGCGCGGAAGTGGCGAAATGTGACCCACACGCGCACAGATGCGGGTTGTGTTCACTTCAGGATGCGAACGGAGCTCTGGAACGGATCCCGTTCGCATCCCGAGGTACCACTGTATAGCAGGAGACTGTGTGTAGATTTTATTACCTGTGTCCTCAACTCTCGAAACAAAGCCTGGAACAGGGGTCTTTCAGTCGTGGTCAGTCGACCGCTGCGTGCAGACCAGACTGATACTTTTGGGGGAGATGAATGAATTCCTGTGCCCCACAAATAACCCAGAGATTTATTTTAAATAAAAGGACACATTCTGCTCATGTAAAAACACGTTGATTCCTGGACCGTCCGCGGATTTAGAAGGCGATTGGGCCGCATCTGGGCCCCGGGCCTTAGGTTGCCTACCCCTGCTCTGGAAGGACCCAGATTAGTTTTGTGCCACTTTAGAGGAGGACTGCCTGCTGAGGGCCTGAAGGACCCTTGCCCTTGCCTCTTTCCACCTGGCTTGGGGCGGGGTTGACAGACTTCACAAGGACTGCAGCTGCTTTTAAATTGTTTTTAATTTTTATCTGTGTTGTTTTAAATGAGACCATCTTGCCTGTGAGCCTTGGAAGACCTGCACCCTGCCTTGCTGGCCCTTTCCCTTGCTGGCCTGGGAAAGTGGAGTACTGACTGACTCCAGCTACAAAAGCCGAAGCTGTTGAACAGATTCTTGGGCTGGAGTATTGGTTACTGGGGGGTTGAAAGAGCTGTTGCTGATATTCTTGTAGTATCTTTAATTTTAGATCTTATGATTTACGTGGAAATTGTTTCCATTTGGTTGTGTACTTTTTGATGTGTTTTATTTATTGTTTATGACTTCTGTTATGTTTGCAGTTATTATGTAAATCTTGTCATGTTGTAAGCTGCCTTGAGCATAGTTTCAGCTATGGTAAGGCGGTATACAAATAAATTGATGATGATTCACTTTGGGCAGTGCCTGAATATCTCTGAATCAGCCAGCTTTGCTTCTGGATCCAGAAGTTGCCCTTTTATTGTTGTCTGGATCATATAACAGTGTGTCTGAGAAAATCTTTTTTTTTTTTTTAATGCACTTGGTTGGCCATAACAGAGCGATAACTCAGCACTGAATTAGTTAAAGCACCAATTGGCACCAATTTAAAATGTTTCCATGTTATTTGCTCTCTCTTGTCATCATCCGGGAATAGTTGGCTCTTCTCATATTATGCAAAAAAAAATCTCCGTCGGGAGGGAAGGAAAAGGCTGTCCATTATTAATTAGATATAAATTATTCCTAATCTATACACAATGCCTAATCCCTGGTTCACAGAAATGCAAATTGCACTTCAGAAACAATATGTTAACAAGTCATTTGTCAGAAAGAGACAGGAGCCCAAGCCCAGTATAAAATATAGAACAAACACTTCAAGCTTATTCCAAAGAATACACTGATTGAAGGTTACCCTGAATAACAAAGAAATCCAAGATGGATGACAGCAGGAACAAAATATTTCACAGGGAAAACACACAGTTTACTTTAATATGGAAATGCCCACACAATAGCCTTTGCTGGTAACTGTGTTTCACCTCAGTGAGTGGGGAGGAAGGAGGAAAACTGAAACACATCCTAAAGGGTGAACATTGCACTTTTGCTTTGGTTAAATATTTTTCTTAGGGTCCTTACGGCTAATTCTGTCCTTTAAGTTTTTCTTCCTAGTTGTTCCTGGGACCAAGTTCACAACAAGTTCTACCTGATATGAAGGCTGACTTCATTTATACTATGCTGACATAATGACTATAAGGATTTAAGACTATAGTGTTTTAATTCTGTGCACCGTCTTGTACATTTCTTACCTCTTTATCATCAGTTCCAAATAAGGTATGTGGATTAGGTAGTGTAAGTAAACCACTTAGTTATGTGATCAATTGAGTAATAAGGAATGTCTGTGCATCATGCATCATGCAAGGGTAACAACAACAACAACAACAACAACAACAACAACAACAACAACAACAACTTATTTATACCTCACCCATCTGGCTGGGTTTCCCCAGCCACTCTGGGTGGCTTTCAACAAAATATCAAAATGCAATAATGCATCAAACATTAAAAGCTTCCCTAAACAGGGCTGCCTTCAGATGTCTTCTAAAAGTCTGGTAATTGTTGTTCTCTTTGACATCTGGTGGGAGGGCGTTCCACAGGGCAGGTGCCACCACCGAGAAGGCCCTCTGCCTGGTTCCCCGTAACTTGGCTTCTCACAGTGAGAGAACCACCAGAAGGCCCTCGGCGCTGGACCTCAGTGTCCGGGTAGAACAATGGGGGTGGAGACGTGGAGATGTTTGGATAGTCCCTACAGGGGCAGAAGGGGGGGAGCTGCGACGTTCCCCCCTTCCCCCTTTGTTTTGACCACCCTGTGCTCCTGGGCTGCTGGAGGAGGCATGCAGGGAGAGGACGCGAAGGAGGCAAGAGAGCAAACAAGCGGAATCCCCCTGGAATCCCCCAAAAAGCTCAACAATTTGGTCAATCCTTCCCTTAAAAAAGCTCAACAACTCCTGGCAATGACCATGGGTAGATCACAGCCAGTCTTTTTATACTGTGAGTAGATCACAGTCTCTTGGGAGTCCAATTAGATTTCAACGTGGCGGGGGGGGGGCTAGAAATTTTCCACACTGGTACCACCTGACCTTGCTACACCACTGAGTAACCATCAAAATGGTGCCCAAAACAAACTCAAAGTAAATTTGGAGAGTTCCTTCTTATAGGAAACATAAGGAGCATGTTGAGGGAGAGAGAAATGATTTACCGTATTTTTTGCTGTATAAGACTCACTTTTTCCCTCCTAAAAAGTAAGGGGAAATGTGTGTGCGTTTTATGGAGCGAATGCATGCTGCGCAGCTATACCAGAAGCTGCGCAGCGATCCCTTTTGCTGTTCTGGCTTCTGGGATTCAGAATATTTTTTTTCTTGTTTTCCTCCTCCAAAAACTAGGTGCTTCTTATGATCTGGTGCGTCTTAGAGCGAAAAATACGGTAGATGAAAATTTTGGGGTGTGGGTCAGGGTGGAGTTCAAAAATCCATTTTATGAAGGTACAAAACATTCTTGCAGCTCTGGTGATGGGTAAAACCCTTCACATTGATCTGTGAAACACAGAGCAGAGCTCCAAATCTGGACTCCAGGTATAAAATTCCTCATGTACCAAGAACTTTATCCTTTTGAGTGGTTTTGCTAGTTGTATCCTTCAGCTGCATTAATGATGTGGAGAACAAATATTTAAAAAATTGATTCTTATACTTCAAGCTCACTTTGTGATAGCCTGGCACTAGTGGATCACTTTCAATGAGCTTTTCCTGTTATATGCAGCAGATTTTAAGATGTTAGGTACTCGATCAGTGGAATCCCTGATCTGAATCTTCTGCAGAAATGAATTATCTCCACCATAAGAATGTGCTTCAAAACTTTACAGCATAACAGTCTTAAATACTAGTTATAACAGGATAAACTTTACAAAATAACGACGTAACATATCACGAGCAAGCAATGAGGTTCAATCCTTTATGCAGTTCAGTGAACTTCCCTCTCTCTGGTCCCAAAAGAGATCCCAAGTTTGTTCACCATTGCAGAACTTCTCTGCAACTGCTGCCGCTAGCCATCTCCAAACAAAATCACACACAGACTTCTCAAGTTTCAACTTCCTTCTGTGAGAGCTCTGCAGCTCCTGTTTCCGGAAATGAGTTATCAGATAGTATATCTCACTCTAATTATCTCACTTCTCTGACGCTTTTGCCAGAGTGCAACTTTTTTGCCTAAGGTAAACTTCCCACTACAGCATTTTAAATGCAATGCATTCAAACACAGCATTTTATGTACATTAAATTTATAACTTTAACATTAGGGAGGAGGGGAGTGGTTCATAAGAAAATGATTTATTGCATGCTCTTCATATACGGCAGGATAGCTCAGTTGGTTAGAGCGTGGTGCTGATAACGCCAAGGTTGCAGGTTGGATTCCCGTCTGGGACAGCTGCATATTCCTGCATTGCAGGGCGTTGAACTAGATTATCCTCAGGGTCCCTTCCAACTGTACAGTTTTAGGATTCTAAACAAGGGGTGGGGAACAACATCATGATCAGACCTCCGAAGCGAAACACAGTAAATGGTCATTGGTGTGACTGAAAAATGTATTTCTCTGTTGTCTTAAACAGAAAGTTAATCTTTTTCATTTACTGATCAATCAAATAGATATGGTTTGGGAGACTTTATTGTAGACCTGTTTGTTTTCATGCTTGTCATAAACAATTAACACAGGGATCCTAAAAAGTTCATTACATCAGCTTATGCCATCAGATCCTTAGGTTACTTGATTAGGAGGGACCTACTTCTTCACGGACGCGGGTGGCACTGTGGTCTAAATCACTGAGCCTAGGGCTTGCTGATTGGAAGGTCAGTGGTTCGAATCCCCGTGATGGGGTGAGCTCTCATTGTTCAGTCCCAGCTCCTGCCAACCTAGCAGTTCGAAAGCACGTCAAAGTGCAAGTAGATAAATAAGTACCGCTCCAGCAGGAACGTAAATGGTGTTTCCGTGCACTGCTCTGGTTTCGCCCGAAGTGGCTTAGTCATGCTGGCCACATGACCTGGAAAAACTGTCTGCAGACAAACATTGGCTCCCTCAGCCAGTAAAGCGAGATGAGCACCGCAACCCCAGAGTCGTTCGCAAATGAACTTAGCTGTCAGGGGTCCTTTCCCTTTACCTTTTTACTCCTTCACAGTGCCTACAAAATACAGAGAAATGTACAGTGGTACCTTGGGTTACATATGCTTCAGGTTACATACGCTTCAGGTTACAGACTCCTAGTCTGTAGAAATAGTGCTTCAGGTTAAGAACTTTGCTTCAGGATGAGAACAGAAATCGTGCTCCGGTGGCACGGCAGCAGCAGGAGGCCCCATTAGCTAAAGTGGTGCTTCAGGTTAAGAACAGTTTCAGGTTAAGTACGGACCTCTGGAACGAATTAAGTACTTAACCTGAGGTACCACTGTATATCAGAAACTGTCTGTTTCATCACCTTCACTCTGACCTGCAAACTAACTTGCAATGCCACAAACCTGCTGCCATTTTATGTGGTCAACTATTACAGCAACCCGCCCTTGTAGAGGTGGCCAAATATTGGATAAAGTAATTCACTGAGCAATATTCAATGAATAATGAACCAGGATAAATTATAATAATGATAAATTATTTAATGCTTTTTATTTGACCAGCTAGAGAGCTTGTTGAATAACCCAAAAGATTACTCTTTAAATAATGTATTTGAAGAATAACAGCATTATTCATTGATTGCTTGACAAATGGTATTTCACCTTTTTTTCTTTTCATTTCATTTCTTTTCTTTTCAAATCACCAAGCACAATAACTCCTGGCTATTTGCTTGAACTTTGCAAGGTCTCTTGCCCAAAGACACCTCCCTCACATCCCTGGTTTTTAGACAGATTGCCCACCCCACCCCAAAAAAGGGAAGGGGAAAGTGATTTCTATTTTCCCATTTCAAAACAGTTAATTCTGCCATGGTGGAAAAAGTGCTACGCTTCTTCTTCTGAGGTTTGGCAGTCTTCATCCCTTCAGAAGGGGTGGTGATGCCTGCAATTTGCACCCGATTCTGGCATAAAATGGGGAAAAAACAAACTTTTGATATACCAAATCCACCCAAACAGAAATTTTACCCCTGAAAAGAGGACATGTCTTGGAAAAAGAGGATATATGGCAACCCTGCTGGTGGACATGCATGTATGTATGTATGTATGTATATGTATGTATGTATTTCTTGGTGGGTCATGGCCTCCACATGTTTCTGACCATGTTGAGCTGCTATTTGTATATGGATTCATTGGTGCAGGAATAGCAAGAGGAGGAGGAGGAGAAGTAGGGCAGCCAGTCTAGGATGAGGAAGGAGCTCTATATATCCAAATGATGTGCATTAAGAGCACTCAGTGTGAGCAATAAACTGGCCAGCTTCAAAGCACTTCGGCTCCCAATGGAAGTGAATAGGCCCAGCATATATATATACACACGTATATAAGTGGGAAATGAGAACAATAAGATTTCATTGTTTCAAGATACAATCATAATTTAGGCATAATGGTGCTCATTCCTGTCAGCAATATTAGGATTTTAGCTTAATACGTTTTTGAAACATTCTAGAGAAGGAATGTTGATCACTGGGGTTGAATGACTGGAGAGAGGGGAGGAGCCCGGAATATTTGGAAATTAAGCAGACAGGGTTCCTATGCTCTGTATAAAGGTAAAGGGACCCCTGACCATTAGGTCCAGTCGTGGCCGACTCTGGGGTTGCAGTGCTCAACTCGCTTTATTGGCCGAGGGAGCTGGCGAACAGCTGGCCAGCAAGCCGCTTCTGGCGAACCAGAGCAGTGCACAGAAATTTACCTTCCCGCAGGAGCGGTACCTATTTATCTACTTGCACTTTGATGTGCTTTCGAACTGCTAGGTGGGCAGGAGCAGGGACCGAGCAACAGGAGCTCACCCCGTCGCGGGGATTCGAACCGCCAACCTTCTGATCGGCAAGTCCTAGGCTCTGTGGTTTGACCCGCAGTGCCACCCGCATCCCTATGCTCTGTATAGGCAGCATTAAAAAGAACCCGAGAGTGTTATTTCATTGCATTTATGCTTTGCCATCCTCTTTACAAGATTTGGGTAGCATGTATGAGTTGACGGTAGGTGTGTGCATTGGCTCTGTGTACTACCCAAATTTACTCAGGGGTGACTGGGGTGAGGTTTTTGCCTTCCTGAATCAGATTGCAACCATGAACCGAGGTATCTTGAGTCAGATCAGAGACTCCCTAAAGTCTTTAGCTGCTCTGATGTCTCTTTTTTGAACAGCAACAACTGCAAAAGCAAGTTGACTAAGCAAACACCCTCAGCTTGAGTGGGGAGGGAGTGGGAACGTGGGGAAATCTTTCATTTTGGCAGACAAAATGTAGCTTGTAATCGCAGGGAAGGATATTTTTGCCCAGTGAATTCCAATTACAGTCATTTGCGGGAGGGGTCAATAACTCTGGTTTGGGGGTGGGTCTATGCTGTTTGTTCCATCACAGCTCCCCCAATGCAAGTCAAAGGAAAGGAAAGGCTGTAGAGTGGGCCAAGGGAGCTGAAAATAATGTCAATATATTTTGCATCTGGCAACTTATGTGCCCCCTTTGGTTTCAGATAGTACATGAGTCTAAAAATCCCAGGACACAATTTTTCATGGCCCTCTAGCACCTATGGTGGCTCATTTACCAGCAGTAATGAATTTAGCATTAATTCTGGAAGTGTATAGTGTATACGTTGTGGGTTAAACCACAGAACCTAGGACTTGCCGATCAGAAGGTCGGCGGTTTGAATCCCCCCGACGGGGTGAGCTCCCATTGCTCAGTCCCTGCTCCTGCCAACCTAGCAGTTCGAAAGCATGTCAAAGTGCAAGTAGATAAATAGGTACAGCTTCGGCGGGAAGGTAAACGGCGTTTCCGTGCGCTGCTCTGGTTTGCCAGAAGTGGCTTAGTCATGCTGGCCACATGACCCGGAAGCTGTACGCTGCCTCTCTCGGCCAATAAAGCGAGATGAGCGCTGCAACCCCAGAGTCGGCCACGACTGAACCTAATGGTCAGGGGTCCCTTTACCTTTACCTTTTACTGGAAGTGTATACTCAATTCTGACCAAAGTAAGCCTCCTAGAGTATATTTAGCTCTAGGAGGCTTAGTTTGGTCAGAATCAAGTATACACTTCCAGAGTTAACACTACATACAGTCGTACCTCTACTTACATATCCCTCTGGATAGGGAATCTTTGGGTTATAGCCACGGGAAACCCAGAAGTGTATACTTCCGGGTTTCGCCACACGTGCATGCGCAGAAGTGCTTTGCGCACCTCACACGTGTGCAGAAGCGCTGAATCACACCATACGCAGAAGCATGCCTCTATTTTTGTCATTTTTGGGGTGCGAACAGACCCCCGGAATGAATTAAGTTCATATCCGGAGGGTCCACTGTACATTACTTCTGGTAAATGAGTCACCAGAGTCACTACAGGGCAATGAAAATTTGTGTCCTGGGAGTTTTAGACTTGTCTACCCATGTACTATCTGAAACCCAAGGGGTGCATTGGTTTCCAGATGTAATCTTTTTCAGCTCTCCTACCCCACTAGTATGCTTAAAAAAAAAAAGACCTTCATTGGGGACAGAAGCTCCCCTCCCTGGGGCAACAGGGTCCTTGTTGCAGGGTTGGCTAGTCCCCAAACCTTATGGGAGTGTATTTTCCCTACCCCTCTCTTTCCTAGGGATCTATGATTCTTTTCTCTGCAATACCCCCTTCCCCAATGGAAGTCAGTTGAGAGATTTCTCTCTTCCAGGGAGAAGCAGCTGTATCTCCAAAATCCATGGTGAGGGACATAACACTACCTGCACCGTTTACCCTTACAGAGTCCTTGCTGGGGGGCGGGGGATGACATTTCCCCAAATGTCTTTCTTGGGGATACATGCTCTTTCCCCAGCATGATTCACTCCTATTATTTCTTCTTTACCCACCCCAAAATAATAAAGTCTGTCCTTGCAGCAGAACCCAACTACCATACTGCAATTCAGCAGCCTTCATCCCCTTGAATGGGGGTAACTATGTCAGCCAATTGCATCGAAGCCTGGAAGGGAGAAAAGGGAGGTTTTATAAAGATATCAAACTTTAAAGGTTCCCTGCATGAAACTCCCTGGATGTATCTGACTACAACTTGACAGGATTAATCCACTTGTGGGGAGGGCACTCATATGCCTGAAAATTTTATCCACTTATGCAAAAAGGAAAACAAGTGTTATAGCTGACCCCAGCTAATGAATGAGGGGGAAACAGAGCTTTTTTATTAAAAAAAAAAATTTAATTTGATCAAATTCAAGGGTAGCTCCAAGGCAAATCCTGTTCAGTGCACACCTGGAGCTGACAGCTATCTTGTTACATAGGTTAAACTAATATATTAAGATTGGCC